TTCCATTTTTAGTTCTTTGATCGATCTTCAATGGCTTGTCTCCTGCTTGTTGTGCTATGTTTTGGAGTTTAATGGATTGGGGTTAATGATTTTGATGATTTGGTTTGAGATGGCCTGATTTGCTTCGGTTTTAATAGTTTAAAGGTTCAAAAAACAGTAAGAATAAAAACTGTTTTCGACTAGGCTGCAAAAAATTGTTGGAAATTGGATTAATCATCTTTTGCTAGCTTGGTCTGGTGTTAAAGGAATGAGATGGAAGGTGTAGTGTTGATGTTTATGTGTTTGGGTTTAAAGAAAAGCTTGAAAACGTGTCTAAACATTGCTGGAAATGTAACAATCTGCTGAACTCAATGTTTCAGAGTCTTAATCTTTTGTTTGTTCTTTCTTTTCGGTTCCAAGCTGGTTTTTTTATCTAGATAACAATTCGATCATGTTTCTTTTTGGATTGCTTGCATGAATGTGTCTAGGAAGCATAAGGGATTGCGTGAGAATAGGGGCGGAAGAAAGGAAAATTTCTGAAGTAGTTTGTAGAAGTTTCCACCGTAGCTTTGCATGAATTAGTTGCAGAAATTTGCAGCAAGCATTCCTTTCTGTTGCTTTCTTCGTAACATTTGCATGAAAGACTCCTCAGAACTGTCTTGTTTAAAGGATTGTGTTTCGGTAACTTCATTTTGCTATTTATTTGGATGTCAAAATGGTACATTTCGTTGCTTGGATTCTTGATGTTTGAGCTGAGAAAATTGTACTGTGAGCTCATGAAGTTGCAGCAGTTTTTATTTTTCAAATGTTTGCATAGTTTTTCCAGAATCTTTGCATGAGATTTTCTAAGTTTTCTACCTGTTTGGATGATGACAATGATGTGGTTGCTGCCTAGTTTAAAGCTATGCATTTGGATTTGGAATCTGATTTTTTAAACAAAGTTGTGTGCTTGAATTCGATTTCGATTGCTGAAGTTAGATGGGAAGTGTTGCAGAAAGCCTCCTACGTGATTGTCTTGTTTTGCATGTAAAACAACTTTTGATAATTTCACTTTGACCCCTTGGCTTCTAACTAATGCTACTTTGACCCAACCAATTGAATAATGTCTTCAATTTGGTCCTTGGCAGCTTTAGTTTTTGCGATTTCATTGCTTGCTTTGTTTCAATTAATTACCATGCTTTGCCATTTGCACTTAAGTCATGACTTTAGGGGCTTTACAATCAAGTGAGCTTTATATTTGTGCATTTCTTTTAGTTTTTCTCAATTAAAGTGGTACCTTGACCTTTTTATTGTTTTGAAGCCATTTTTCTTTCATTTGGACACCAAACGGGGGAGGTATAACTTCTTTTATCCCTTTTTGTATCTCCTATGTGATACAACGTGCTAAGTGAGAATTGCATGTCTACTTTGCTTTCCTTACATTTCCTTGATTCCTTTCATTTATTTCATTTACTTTGGCTTTTATTAAGTTATTCTTTTATGGGGTATGTGTACACCTCTTGGCTTGTAATAGATAGGGCTTGGAGAGCATTGGATGAAAACCTACTGAAGACGTGTGCCTAGCTAGCAAATGTAATAAGTTCATTAGCTTGGTTGCTTGCTTTTGTTGCTATGTGTTAATTCGCTTTATTAGGCTCTTGCATTTAGTCGAGCATGCTAAGTGTTATGTGCTATGTGTTTATGAGTGTTTGGCATGTCTACTTGCTTTCTATAGTCGTAGATGAATGTGATGGATGAATGTGCGTCACCACACTAGTCCAATGCTAGTTGTGGTTCATTATTCCGTTAGGAATTCATAGAAAGGGCTAGTCCAACGCTAGACTCAATAAGCCGTCCCCCTCTCGTTAGTGCATACTTGCCTGTTCACTACATTTCATGCATTTTTCTTAGTTTTTATCATTTGGCATGCTCCTCCAATCCTTTTCCCCTCATTTTAGGCTTTTTGCATCTTCATGCTAGTTATAGGGTACATTTGCTTGAAGAGTCCCCTTTCGATAAGGGAAACGAGCGAGTTTGGCTACAAAATAGCCTTAGCACGCTAGTTCTTCCTTCTAATCCAAGGGAAAATCAAAGTCGTAAAGTTAGGAGTCCTTCCCGTACCCGACTTGATGCATTCCCTTAGGGTCATACACTTGCATTCTTTTTTATATCACCTCTTCACCTTTTAACCACATTTTCTCATTTTTCTCAATCCACACTTTCTCAACATCTTTTTATCACTTATTTATTTTCTAACCCACAAATTGCACCCAATTGCATTTATATGTATCTACTATCATATTTTCATTCACCTGCACACAACCACCCTTACTTTCTCAATTGGCACACATACATTTTCTTTACATGTGCACACATGCACTTTTCTTACATTCGCACACTTGCACTTACCTTTTTATTTGCATTTTGCATCCTTCATACATTTTCACACTTGCACATATTTGAGTCCTCATTTGCATTAATCACGACTTCTATGAGAGCTTTCCTTATTGGCCACCACAATTCATGTGGTTGGGACCAAAAAGTCTCATAAGAAACATTTTAGATCTGGGATTGCATTTTTCTTTTCTTTTCGCATCCATTAGTCATATCCAATATGCGATACATACCTTGGGTAGAATAATTAGGAAAAGTGGGGCTAAGTCATGCAACTAGCTTTGGCTAGGGTAAGGGAGTGCTTTAGGCTTTGCCTTTGCCTTCTCCCTTATCAAATGTGACCCCCGATCCCTTTCTTTGGTTACGTAGACCTAAAAGTTTGTAAAAAGGGTTTATTTACTTTTTCGTTCAAAAACAAAAATCTTTTTTGGTGACTTGGTACACCCTAACTCTATACCAAGTGGCGACTCCATTTTTTTCAAAAACCCTTTTTTGAACTTTGTTTGGCCAAACCGTCGCATTCCACAATCCCACGGCCTTTATTTTCACTTTCACACGTTCACATACATATCTCACACACTACTTTCACACACGCAATTCAAAAAGTGGGGGCGCAACATTACTTTTGTTAGATGAATTGGAATGAAATGCTATCTTCTTATATGATCTTCGTTGTTTGAGTGGTAGTATCTTATTAGGTGTAAGCTCACTCTATTCCTTTTGTTTTCCTTACAGGAATTTGAATACTTTTGGAAAGGTTATGAATGTTGGTTGCCAAGTTGAGCTTATGTGAATGTAATTTGAATAGCTCCTTTTGGGCAAAACCCTAAATGTATTTTGATCCAATTATCTCCCTTTTGTTTTGTAAATTTACAAACGTATGTGTATAATACTGTTTAATCCCGTTTATGTGTCCTATTTCGTTTGGGAATGTTTTTCCGAGTTATATGACATGGCACCCACTATTCACCGACGGTTTAGTTTCGTTTGGCTATTTTGCGATTTCGGCTTGTGTGAGCGCGTGTTATTTCCCGAAACGTCTTAGATCGTGTTTGCCTGCACCGTTAGTCCTAGCGAGAGTTGGGCAGGCAGTCCGCTAATCTCTTTGGTTCGCCTTAGGGGAAGGTGGGGCTGTCACACAAATCATGCATTTTCATGGTCAAAAATGGAATTCCTCACGAAAATAGAAATCTGTCCGCGAAACAGGGCTCATGGGCAGTCAAGGGTATTTCGGTCATTTCATATGATACAGTGCTCGGATCGAACTGAAATTTTGTAGGCATCTAATCAACACCATTTTCTACAACTTTCATGTTTTAACCTAAACCTGATTCGGCCTCTAACATGCACAAATAAAGCCGGTTAGAACAGGGCAGATTGGAACCCTAAAACTGAAATTTCCACACAAAACTGAAATTTTCCGCAACCAACTACAACTAACATATAAAAGTTTTCATTTTACACCATATCAAGCCATCATTCATGGCCAACCAATAACTATCATATGAAAACAGAAAAATCCCCAAAAAAATTAGAAATTGAGCTAACTTCACTTTAATCCATGAAATCTTCCATAAAACAACCTATTTAGCCACCACAAATCACTAATTTACCATGATTAGGAACAAAGAGTGAGTTTCCAAGCAAAATACCTTAACTCCTCAAGAAAGGTGGTAGCTTAGGTGTTTCTCCTTCAAAACAAGTCCACCAAGACCTTCAATCTTCCTTAGCAAGTCACTTTTGTGGGCAAATTCAAGATTTAATCGGTTGGATTTCAAGATATAAGCAAGAATTGGAAGCCTAAAGTTCAAGCTCACTCTCTTTTCTTTCCTTGAGAGGTTCAGCCAAGAGGGGTACAAAATGAAGATGATTTAGGTCAAAATTGATCTATTAGTAAAGGTAAGAAAGTTAGGCAAACCAACCATCCAATCAGGTCGCGACACATGGCACTCTTAATGGTTCAAACTTATCCTTTTGTCTCTCCAAGATTAAACCATCTACGTAACCTCTAATTATCTCTTAACACCTAGTATGTTAATTTTGGTATACAAAACGTAACCTAATTGGTCGAATTTATCGCACTTAACGCCACTAGCGGGTCCCACGTCCAATATACACTCTTTATTTCTTATGAACTAACTTATACTAGAAAATGATTTAAAAACTATATTTACTTATAAAATCTCGAAAAAATCAATATAATAGGGTATAATGATGAAAATGCAGGCGAGAAAATAAAATAAAATTAGGAAAATTTACGGGTCCTCACAAAGTCATTGTAACCTACACAAAAAAGTTAGTATAAAAATACCTCACGCACACTACAAAAAATTATTTCTTTCGTGACAAATTTTTCATGACAACCAACTTATTTGTCAGGAAAACCATACCTTTTACGACACTTCGTCAGGCAAATATCCTTCAAAAGGCACTGCTACTTTAAACATATTTTTCTACTTTTGCTCACGTCCATTCGTCAGGAAAAGTTTTCATTCTCCACCAGTTTTTTCCCTTTTGGACCAAAAAAGAATTTAGAAGGACATCAACTTATGACATAGAAACCGGGAAACAAAAAACACTTGTTCCATCTCTCTTTCTTTTGGAACAACAACGACAAAGAAGCACTTCTCCAAATCTGTAACTCATCTTCATCTCTTTCAACAAGAGAGACAACACGATGGTCTAAGGTGATGTAAACATCAAATAATCCTTCAATTTTGTCTTGAATCGGTTCCCTTTCTCCAAATTCCCCTTCAATTTTGTCTTTAATTGGTTCCTTTTTTTATTTTTATAGTGGGTATTTTATTCATCTCTTCCTTTCTCTGTTCGTCGAAACCTAGGAAGATGCTTCAGTTCTTGTGCCTGGGGATATAATCAGTATAAAACTTGGTGATTCTGGTTCTGGTAATGATTTGGGGATGCTAATTGGAGATGCTTCACTATACGATTGAGTTCAATTGGGGATGCTAATGATATGGCTGATTCTGGTAACGATTTTAGGGGTTTCAAGGCTGCTAGTAGGGAAGTTCAATGCGTAGGCGCAATATTTGCTTTGTTCGAATTTCTTTTGGACTGTTGTGTGCTTTTAGGATTTCATTTGTGGGTGTGATGCTTTTGTTGATCTTAATGTTGATTTTTGGTGAAAAGGATTCTTTTTCATGTTCGTTCGCAAAAGCAATTTGGGAAGCTTCGATTGAACTTTGTGTTTCATTCTTTTTCATGTTCGCTCGTAGTTTCGGATTTTTGAACTTCGGCTCTGCTTGATCATGCTTTTTATGCCCATTCTTGTCGGATTTTGGTTTCTAGATTTTAGTTTGTTCTACCGTGTTAGTTTTTGTCAGTGTTTCAGAAAAGGAAAATTGACGTTTTAGTTTTGTTGTAAATTAACAATGGACCTTTTGTTTTGCTTTTGTGCTCATATTCTGTATTTGCAACTGTTGCTAAAAAAATTGATTCATGTAATTGGCAGTGATTTATGTATCTTTTTGGTGTTGTCTTGGTGAAATGCTTGTAATAAGCATAGCAATCACTTGTTTTCTCATTTTCTATGGTATATGTTTTAGATCTTCTTTCACATGTAGATATGGCTTTGAGATAAGTTTTCGACTAAATGAGGAAAGTGCAATTTTGAATGGTAAACCTGTGGCCAAATTGCCAATCACATGCCAAATTATGAACTAGAGCTATAAGTTGGCATTTGCAGATGGTAGTGGGTGTTTCTGCAGGAGTTGGGAGAATTTGATTCACAATTATATACCATTTTAAAAGGCTATGCTATGTGCTCAGTAATTAGACTAGAGAGGATGATGCTTGAGTGCTAGAGCTTTGTGCAAGAGGATACTGCTATATTATTTGTGATATAAGTAATTCTCAATCAACTTGCACAACGCTGATGTTTGTACTAGTTTTCTAGTTCGAGTAAGAATAAGTACTTTGTAATATCTGTTTTGCTTGCTTTCCTGGAATTTAAGTTTTCTCCTGATTCCCATGCGTATATCTATGGCTAATATACTGATATTGTTTGACATGTAACTGGTTTTGGTTTCCTCTTTTTATTTCCTCTAGATTTGTTTCTGGTCCTTTATTCCTATATATGAAGTTATGAGTCATGCCCTTTGGACTTTGCAGCAAATTTCACTGCTTCTGGAGAGCAGTAAATTGGAGATAAAATATCTCTTGGAATGGAAGGGAACCATGGTAAGCACGGCTACAGACTGATAGTTGGAGAGGAATTTCTGCACTCATTTAACTTTCTAACTTTAATTCCTTTTGCAGGAGAAAGGAATTACTGACCTTGAATCATGGAAAGGTACTTCGAAATTATCATTGAGCAGGTTTCAACCAAAACCCATTATCATTTTGCTTGAAACTATTGCCATTGCCTATTTGAGTGCCAGGGGTGGTTAGAACATTGAACTTTTGATATGATCACCCCTAAAACAACTTTGAATGCCAAGTATAATATTCTTTCTACATGTTTTAGGAGGGATAGTTGGAATGGTTTTGTGATACATATTACATGATTATGCATGTATAACATGTATGAAAAGTATGTTTTGCTGTGCTTGTTTTCCGACTCGTACCCGTTTCAAACAAAAAATCCATTATTGCTTGAGATTTAAAGCTTTGATACTATAGACCATATTTCTTGACATTTCTTTAGTTCAGAGTTTCTTCACTCTTGAGGAGTTAAATAAATGTATCATATGGTTTTGTTACCTAAAAGTTTAGCTGCATTTTCAGCTTAAGTTAGTTCCCATTGGTAAGATGACTACATTATCAATGGTGTCTCTTTTTTTGGGATTGCAGGTGACTGCTTGCAAGCTATGGCGGCAAGTTGGAGAATCTTTTAATCCTCCAAAGTAAGGGCTGCTGTTCATGAATTGATTGTAATTGAATGACATCTTGTATCATGTTGCATGTTGTCTGTTGCTTAAAAATTTTTTTTTTACTTAAGTTGACACTGGGCATGCTAAGTTTAATACAACTTTTAAGATAACTAGGAAACAAAATTCTAATTGAACTTTAACCTCCTCAGCAATTATCTAATTGTGTTATTCGTAATAAGTAAAATGTGTACTGAAAATTTTGATTCTTAAAAAAATGGGAAGAGGAATGGGGGACATAGTTGATTTGCATGTGTGTCAATTTCATATTCTTGCCTCTGTATTCTTTATGTTCATCAAAAGTTCCTTTAGGCTTGTTCATCGAGCCATTGGAACACTGAAGGCTCTAAATTTTTGTGCCACTCTGCTTCATTCTTATCTCCAAAATCGTTTGCTTGCCCCTATCCTCAATTATTTATAAGCCTTGGGCAATAAATGGTGAGTGGTTGACCTCCTAAATATTTGTCTTACCACAAATGTTTGCTCTTTTACTGTGGCCATCCTATGATTGTTCTCCCAGTTTCCTAAAAGTATTAAGAGATTATCCACATATTCGGATTTTAAGATTACAGTTTACTTTTCCTAGTCTTTAATTGCCTCTAAAGCTATTCTTATGTGCATTCCTTTGCTAACATATTATTTTTATGAATTTACTTGGAAGTGTTTGTACTCTTTCTCCTCAAGATTAGTATGCAAAGTTGCTCTATGTTGATTCTCCCAAGTTTATGTCCACGTCTCAACTTTCTGTACCTTTGGATTGCCTTCAACACCCATCTGTCTTTTGGCCCACATGGCACAGGCGAAAAACAAAATTTTTCAATATATGCATCCTAATAGGTAGAAGAGGTCATTCCTAGGTGAAAGTGTACGAGTTATTGTCCATGAATTGTTGACTATCTCTATTGAAATTGGTCTTTGGTACTTGTGGTTATAATTGTCACCGTGTATCTAGCTCGCTATGTCTTTATTGTGTTTTGATGCTTTAATTCGAATAGCATGAATAATATTCAAAAGATTTCATAACCTCTCCTTTATTTTCTCCGTAACAACCCTTATCTTTAAGTTATTTGTTCCTCCTGAAGCCAGCACTTAGTCGTAAGCAAATAAGTCTTATGAATCACTCAAACCATTCCAACCTTTCCAGTTTGGAATAAATCTGTCTGTGTCACAACGGGGTAGTTTCAGATTTTGTCTTTATAGATCATTATAGTGGATAAATGGTAATATTTTATAGTGCAAGTTCACTTGAAAGAAGGTCATTGTAAATTGAAAAAAAAATTGAAAATGGATGATATAGGCTTTTATGGATAGTTTTCAGTATACTTGAAATTGATTTTCCAAGAAAATGGCCTTCTAAGGTTGTACCTTGTATTGTGCAACCTATTCTTACTCATGTTCTTTTTCTGATTTTTGTATACTCTTTGATGTATATTTTACATGTTCGCTAGGAGTAGGCTTTAACTGTTTTAGTAGTTATTATTGCTATAAAGATTAGACACGAGAATTTGAGAATAAAGAAATTCAAATGCTATTGATGTGGCATTATCTTCAAAATTTGTTGTTGGTTATGCATTAGATGTGCCATCGAATGATTTTTTATAATATATTCTACAAACTAGATATAGGTACATGGTCCATGACATGGCGCAACATATTTATTATATCAATACTGCTGTTTTCAAACTCTTTATAGTCGGTTACATATGATGATTATCTTAAAATATCTAATTTTGCATTTCTTCATATTTAGCAGAGCAGACCTGCACTCTCACTTGCAACCTACCCACCTAATACCAACTTGCAATCTGAACCATAATCTTCAAACTCAACTTTGGAGCCTCAGTACCACCTAATAACAAAAATACATGTTGTGCATGCCATTCTATTATTTCTATGATTTCAGATTTTTCTTGGTTTTATTGTACAGGTTTGGGATGAGCTTGTGGATTGATTTTGGCTCGTGCTGAAGAACTCCTCTATTTTGATATCATCCATCTCTAGTATTTTGTTGACCATGGAATTGAAGTCCATCTTTTGGTTTTAGCATATGTTAGGTATATGGCATTTATCTAGAGAGAAATAGCAATATTTATATTGGTTTCAAATCGTGGAATGGGATGATATGTAAATGTTTGACATGGTTAACTTTTGTGGTTTGACATATTATGGTTGCCTACTAATGATAATTTGTGAAGTTTTGGTTGATATTTTGCTTGCATACTTTTATAATTTGATTGGATGGAGTGTCTAAATAGATGATATGGTCACTTTGTTGGCACTAAAATTGTTGGGCTTAAAAGTGATGCAGCTGTCGTCAGGAAAAATGACATTGTATTGTCATTAAAGTTTCCCGACAAGTTTCAATGTGTGACTATTCTTGACAATTGAAAATTTAGTGACAAAGTTCAGGGTCTTTCTTGACAAAGGCTCGTCAACAATATGAGGTCTTTTCCTGACGACCAAATCATCACTATTACCTTTCCTGATGATGCGTCACAGAAAATAAAACTTTTCTTGACGAAGATTTCAATAGTTGTCAGGAAAACCTTTTGCCGACGGTGTATAGGTGACCAATTTTCTCTGACGATGTTGGTGTCACGAAAACTTTTTGACGAAACGCATACCTTTTCCAGACAAAAATTGTTGTCACTAGAAATCTTTTTTTTATAGTGGCACTCCTTTACATATTTCACTCGACACTCATATTTTCATTCCAAGTGTTTAACCCTCTAATGATCTCACCAACTGAATTCTCAAGACTCTTGTTCACCTTTCTTGAATAAGTCAGAATTGTGTCAAGCAAACCAACATAAATTTATCAAGCAAATAGACATGATTGTAGCAAATTAGAGTTTGGAATTTAGTATGAAACTCAACTCAAGAAAAAAAAATGAAATCCTAGTTTGACTCAAAAAGTATGAATTGATTGGAAGAACAAGATAAACAACCTTTTCTGGGAAGATTCAATATTGACCACCTTTGCTTGCCTAAATTTGTTCTACATTTGGAAAAGAAATTCAACAAACCAATGTCTACTTCCTTTTTTTCATGACAGCCCTTTTTTTTAATTTAACAAATCCAAATTTTGATTGCTCGTGAATTTTTTTGTTGAATGATTAGGGAAACAAGACACAAATTAAAAAAATGAAACTTAGGAACAAGGACATGAATCAAATGAATTAACAAGGAATGAAGAGAAAACAAGATACGAAATAAAAGGAAACTACACAAAATAAAGGGATAAAAACCTGATACCATCAACTAGCTCTGATGCTAGTTGATATGAACCTCGTCATGAGGCTGATGAAACCTGTAGTAAACAAGCTCCTAGGATCTATATCAAGATATCACAATTTGGCAGCGGAAACCTCAATTTGATAACAAGGGATTATATCAAACCTTGGTATATGATAGAAGACGCCACAATTAAGTGTGATTCTTAATTGATAAATCAGTTGAACACTACAGAGACTCACTTTGATAAGTCCAAGGAAAGTTCATGAAAAACTCAAGAGAAAAAGGCTCTCATTTATTTGCTCAAAATTCTAAATAATTAAGTCAAATAGATTACAAAGGCTATTTATATCCATAGCTCCGATACTAGCTAAATCCAAAATGAACTTGGATTATCTCAATTATCCCACCCAATAACTAAACTAGCGGCCCAAGAAACTAAGATAGCCTGCCATTTTATTGCTAATAATAATTAGACAAATAAATGACTAACTAAAACCTAACCCAAAAGAATCACGAAGTCCGACTCTGGTTGTATGGCTAGTTATAGAGCCGACATCCATTGGATTAGCCCTCTTGAGTAGCACCTTTCTCCACTTGAATTTGAGTATAGATTGTTGCTCTTGAATAACAAGAATCAAAAGTTGAATTGATTTCTTGAGTTTCTTAGCATGAGCTTGCATCATAGGTCCAACTAGAACCCTAACTTGATCATCACTCAAACTCTTAGACACCTTGGAGTTTTGTATTAAAGGGTCTTTATACCAACATGAATTGGACCATAAAGGAAATTTGCAATTCCATTGGCACAAATTTAGACACAAGCTCAGAAGCGATTACCACACCATTCACCACAGTTAAAACACACTTGGACCCCAACTCTCGAGCAATGCAAGTCACTGTGTTAGGTCGCATTTCAACAATTAGTTGAAAATTCGTAATTGGATCCACACAATCATCACCTAAAAAATTGCAACCACTCCTTGCATCATAGTAAATCCGAAGGTTTGTTAGGAAGGATCTTGTCCTTCTCAATTATTAGTAATTTGTCTTCGACTTTATTTGAAGGAATAGCTCATCCGCGCTAAACATTACCCAACGTGTCACCTACATTCAAATTACACTATAGGCAAATTTTACAACTTATTTTCAATAAAATTGATTGGCTTGGACCACAACACGGCTTCAATGAT